GTACGGTACGGTACGGTACGGTACGGTACAGTACTGTACGGTACGGTACGGTACGGTACAGTACTGTACGGTACGGTACGGTACGGTACAGTACTGTACGGTACGGTACGGTACGGTACAGCACAGTACAGTACAGTACAGTACAGTCCCACTGCACTAAAGTGTGCGTCACAGTTAGCATTTAGCTCCACTCTGCTCCTGGAACTTTCACCTTTTTGTTTACAAACATCCAGGTGAAAGTTCTGACACGTTGACAGCAGCGAGGACGGCATTTACTAGACAGAGAGACGGTGCATCTGTTAATAAAGGCAGAACAACGGCAAACTACGGCCCGTGGACCAGATGCAGCCCGCTGGGATTTCTAATCCGGCCCACCACGCCCGAGTACAAGATCCGGTAAAGACTGAAGTCAATGTTTCTGTTTCATGCAGTGCAACAAATCACCTGCAGTTTCCACTGGTGCCACTAGATGGCAGCAGACATTAAAAGTGCCAAATTATCTTTGAAAGTTTAGCTTTTTCTCTTGTGCATTTTATGAAATTGCTTCGCCCAACATTCTACATCCGACCATCACTGACCCGACCCGTCACTCAAACTTTGCATCTCATTTTGACCAATGAGACAAAAGATGTTCCGACCCACGCTCTACAGCAACGATCATCAACTGGAGGCCCGCGGACTAAACCAGTCCAGTTTCTCTTGGAACTGGTTCAGTTCAAAGGTCATGGAAAGGTCAGACCAACAACCATTCACACTCACATTCACACCAACGGTCAGTTTGGAGTGAACATCTCACCGTGGAGTACAGGAGAACATGCAGAGCTCAGACCACCTGCTGTAAGGCAAGAGCGTCCACCACTCTGCCACCGTGTGGCTCCAAAGTCAAGTCTCAGTTCATGGAGACGTAAACACACTGGACTGGACATGTGAGGTCACGAGAGGTCAAGGTGAACAAATATCATTCAAACAGAAAATATTTTCTCCTTGTTACCGCCGCTCCAAAAAAAAAAAAACACAGATTATTCCAGAATTTTAAAACAGTGACTTTGAACAAACTGCCTTTTGTCGCAGCTCTGGTAAAAACAGTTCCGTCTTTGGTTCCTGTTCTTGTGCTGAACATAATAAAAGTACTTCGGTGACCTTGGCCGTTCCCAAAAAAAAAAAAACACATCTTTTTGTTTCTTCTGAATAAAAAAAAAAAAAAGATTTTACTTCATACAATAGTTTTTCATGTGATGATAATTACTACATTTGATCTTTGTTATTTTGTCGTCCAATCTGTGAAATACTCCGAAACTCACTTCAGTTTTCACAGTACGGTACGGTACGGTACGGTACGGTACGGTACAGTACTGTACGGTACGGTACGGTACGGTACAGCACAGTACAGTACAGTACAGTACAGTCCCACTGCACTAAAGTGTGCGTCACAGTTAGCATTTAGCTCCACTCTGCTCCTGGAACTTTCACCTTTTTGTTTACAAACATCCAGGTGAAAGTTCTGACACGTTGACAGCAGCGAGGACGGCATTTACTAGACAGAGAGACGGTGCATCTGTTAATAAAGGCAGAACAACGGCAAACTACGGCCCGTGGACCAGATGCAGCCCGCTGGGATTTCTAATCCGGCCCACCACGCCCGAGTACAAGATCCGGTAAAGACTGAAGTCAATGTTTCTGTTTCATGCAGTGCAACAAATCACCTGCAGTTTCCACTGGTGCCACTAGATGGCAGCAGACATTAAAAGTGCCAAATTATCTTTGAAAGTTTAGCTTTTTCTCTTGTGCATTTTATGAAATTGCTTCGCCCAACATTCTACATCCGACCATCACCGAACCGACCCGTCACTCAAACTTTGCATCTCATTTTGACCAATGAGACAAAAGATGTTCCGACCCACGCTCTACAGCAACGATCATCAACTGGAGGCCCGCGGACTAAACCAGTCCAGTTTCTCTTGGAACTGGTTCAGTTCAAAGGTCATGGAAAGGTCAGACCAACAACCATTCACACTCACATTCACACCAACGGTCAGTTTGGAGTGAACATCTCACCGTGGAGTACAGGAGAACATGCAGAGCTCAGACCACCTGCTGTAAGGCAAGAGCGTCCACCACTCTGCCAC